AAGCCACCTCAAGTAAATGCAGGAAATGCCGGGCATTAGATTCGCATCAAGTCTTCTCCCTGCTGCTCTTGCAAACAGACTATTTTCATGTTAAGCTTCAGATACATCCTCCAATAAATAAATTTGCTTCATTTTGTTGAAGGCACTATCTCTTAAACTTATTTTGAACAGGCATTTTTTTCCACAGTACATTGTGTGCCACAAAACACCAATTTAGGATTCACAGAATCCCTTAATGAGTCAAAAAATGATTAAAAGTAAAAAAGACGTTTCAAATATTTCTACTTCATTGAACTTCACATTTACAAAAGATATATTACATGCTGCCATCGTTTTCTCTAATCAAGGTTTCTTGTAAATCTGGAGGCTTACCTTGTGTAAGGGTACATTCCAATCGTCAGCAAACATGATTGTTTTCCTTTGTCTCCTGTTTTCATGCAAATTAATGTTTTCCTTTGTGCATAACTATTCAGCAATGTTTCACTGATCTTTTTATTTGCTCACTTGACAAGCCTATCTGTAGTGCTGTGTGCTGGTTAAATGCTTTATTGGTACAGCATGCCTATGAGATGCCCCAGGGCTCAGGTGTCATTATCCTGCTCCACAAGTAGAAAACTGAAGTTCCCAATGATGAGCAAGCAGTGTAGCCTAGGTCGTGTGTGTGTGTGTGTGTGTGTGTGTGTGTGTGTGTGTGTGTGTGTGTGTGTGTATTTTACATACCAGCCACAGTTTCCCCTCCCTCCTCTCTTCCCGTTTCCTCTCCCCACCTCCCCGTCTACCCTGCCCCCCATACACTCCTTCTCCTTTCAGAAAGGAGCAGACCTCCCTTGAGAGTCAACAAAGCATGGCATACCAAGTTGAGGCAGGACCAAGCTCCTCCCCTTGCATCAAGGCTAAGCTAGGCATCCCAGCATGAGGAATAGGTTCCAAAAAGCCAGTTCATATGCCAGGCACAAGTTCTGATCCCACTGCAAGGGGGTCCCACAGACAGACCAAGCTACACAACTGTCACCCATATGCAGAGGGTCTAGGTCAGTCCCATTGCAGGCTCCCTAGCTGTCCATCCGGAGTCCCTGAGCTCCCACTAGCTCAAGTCAGCTGTCTCTGTGGGGTTCTCCTTCATCATCTTGACAGCCCCCCTCCTCTGCCCCTGCTCGCTCATATAATCCCTCCTCCCTCCCTTCAACTGGACTCCCAGAGTTCAGCCAGTGCTTGGCTGTGGATCACTGTATCTGCTTCCATCAGTTACTGATGAAGGCTCTATGATGACAATTAGGGTAGTCACCAATCTGATTACAGGAGAAGGCCAGTTCAGGCACCCTCTCCTCTATTGTTAGGAGTCTTAGCTGGGATCATCCTTGTGGATTCCTGGGAGTTTCCCTGGCACCAGGTTTCTCCCTAACCCCATAATGGGCCCCTCTATCAAGATACCTCTTTCGCCGGGCGGTGGTGGCGCACGCCTTTAATCCCAGCACTCGGGAGGCAGAGCCAGGCGGATCTCTGTGAGTTTGAGGCCAGCCTGGGCTACCAAGTGAGTTCCAGGAAAGGCACAAAGCTACACAGAGAAACCCTGTCTCGAAAAACAAAAACAAAAACAAAACAAAAAAAAAGATACCTCTTTCATTGCTCTCCCACCCCGTGCTGTCCTTAACTGGACCAACCGGATTCCTCCTGTTCCCATCTCCCCATTCCCTCCATGCTGTGGGATGTTCTGTATGGCAAATGTGTTGCTTTGATTGGTCAATAAATAAATCACTGATTGGCCATTGGCTAGGCAGGAAGTATAGGCGGGACAAGGAGGAGAATAAAGCTGGGAAGTGGAAGGCTGAGTCAGAGAGACACTGCCAGCCGCCACGATGACAAACAGCATGTGAAGATGCCGGTAAGCCACGAGCCATGTGGCAAGGTATAGATTAATGGAAATGGATTAATTTAAGCTGTAAGAACAGTTAGCAAGAAGCCTGCCACAGCCATACAGTTTGTAACCAATGTAAGTCTCTGTGTTTACTTGGTCGGGTCTGAGCGGCTGTGGGACAGCCAGGTGAGAGAGATTTGCCCTGACCCTGGGCCAGGCAGAAAAACTCTAGCTACACCTCCACTCCACGCCACCCCGCCCCCACTTTACCCAGGAGAGCTCATCTATTTCCCCTTCCCAGGGGAATCCCTCTAAGGGTTCTCCTTTTGCCCTCTACCACTGAGCTAAATCCCCAGGACCCTCTTGTTTCTACCGCCATGGCCACCCCACACTGGGCTTTCAGACATGAACCTCATCTTTTACGTGGGTGCTGGGAATCCAAACTCAGGCCCTTGTCTTTACCCAGCAAGCAGTTTACCAGTTAAGCCGTCTGCCTGCCCACCCTCCCATTTTTTAAGGAAACCAACTATATTTTTTTTTCTCTTGGCCACGTTAGTTCTTATTGTAACTGTAAATTTCATATCATGAAAGGGAAAAAAATTCTAACTTTTTTGTCTTATTTTTAGTCAACACTAAATGTCCGACTGCAAATACCTTTCTCTGCCTTTCATAATTATTTTTCATGATTCTCTCCAGTGAGATTTTGTCTCCAAGCATTTTTAATTAGTAAAATGACAGCTTTGCATTCCAGAGGCCAACCATCCTCAGTTACAATTGGGCTAGGATCAGTATTTTATTTCGAAATGCATAAATAAGATTTAACAACCATCACCTTGCTTTGAGGATGGAGGAGATACTAACCTCGTGAGTCAGTATCTTAGCATCAGAGCACAAGTGTTCACAGATCAGTTGCCTTATTGCTCGGCACTAGACACTATAAAAGGTAAAAGGCTGCACAATAGGGAGAGCATCTGTAAGGTAACCTTCCATGACTGTATATGAAGGGGAATCCTGTAGACAGGATGAGGTCACTTGATCTAGAGAACTTCTTAAATGCCCAAAACCTGTATAAGTTCACATTTCTTCTCTAGAACATTATTTTGTTCCCCTCCTCAAAACATGGTATCATTTAGATACAGGAGGCTCCAGGTCAGCACACTAAAAGCATAGAGTCAATGTCCATCTCTCTCTCTCTCTCTCTCTCTCTCTCTCTCTCTCTCTCTCTCTCTCTCTCTCTCTCTCTCTGTGTGTGTGTGTGTGTGTGTGTGTGTGTGTACCATGCAGGTGCAGGTACATGTTGTGGAGAGGTCAACCTTGGATGGCATTCATTCCTTAGGAGATTTTTGAGACAGCACTGGGGGTAGAAGCTTGCATCACTACATCAGCTTTTCGCTTGGCTGCTAAGGATAGAACTCAGGCTCTTTACCAACTGAGCCATCTTCCCAATCCTACCTCCATCTCCTGAGGTAAAAACTACCGTCTTGTTGATTGTTTGGCACACAGTAAATGTTCAAAAAGTTGTTTGTTTGTTTGTTTGTTTGTTTAAGGAAAAGAAATCAAGTGTGGTGGTTGTAATCCAACAGCACTTGGGAGGCAGGAAGATTGAGAATTCAAGGCCAGCCTGGACTGCATAGCAAGACCCCGATCCAGTGGTGGTGAGGGGAGAAGAGAGGAGAGAAGAGGGAAGAAGAGGAGAGAGAAGGGGAAGGGAGGGAGAGGGAAAGCCAGCTATTTGATCAAACCAACTAGCCAAGCCAATTTGTAAATGCTGCCCCACTGAATAAGAGACTTGCTCAAGGAAAGAGGGATTGTGACATGTCACCTTCACATGAACTCAGCGTAGAGTGTGGGAGGATGCTCCTAAAGGGAACAAAGCAGCCAAAGGGATTTCTGGGGCTCTCGGAAAGAAGAAAGAAGCATAATATTTTTTTATCATGTGCAATATGTGCAGTACATATGTGTGTCCATGCTCATATGTGTCGGGGTACACGTATATAATAGTGCATGTGTGTGCACATGTTACGCATGCATGTGGAGGTCAGAGGTGTCATCCACAATAATTCTACACCTTGTGCACTGAGGCGAGGACTCTTGTTTGAACCCAGAGCCCTCAGTTCATCTAGTCTCTCTAGCTAGTTTGCCATGGGGATCCCATGCCTACCTTCCATGCACTGGGATTACAGGGAGGCTGCCACAAATATCAGGCATCTGCTTGGGTGCTGAGGATGGAAACTCCAGTCTTTGTGTTTGTATTACAAGATTTTTAACTGCTGAGCCATCACCCTTACCCAAGAGCATAACACTTCCCTGGCCATTTCCATTTCTAATGATATATCCAAGTTTCTGTAGAAGCCCAGCTGCCCTCACCTGAACTAGCCAATTGTTTGCATCCCCAGGGCTCTCGGATCAACCGGCACTCCAGTCAAAGCTCCTAACTCCCGAGAGTTCATGGGGTAAGGACTTAGATAGAAGGAGCAGAAGAAACAAGTCACCTGTGATTCTTCCCAATAAGCCTTCGTCCAGTCACGTGGTACTGGGAACCAAAGGACACCCAGACCTGGAGAGAGGTATACTACAGCAGCTAACAGAGAGTGTTTGCCTATCAGGTGAGCAAACACCGAGAATCAACCATGTTCCTTTCTTCTTTTCATCCTTGTTCTTGTCTTCATTGTTCTCATCCATTTTGCTCTTTTCCACCCCATTAAATTCCTTTCTCCATATTCTGCTCTTCTATTCCTTTGGGGTCTGATGCACTTAAACTCCCCTTGCTCCATCTAAGATTCCACACCAGTGCTCTGCCCATTCCATTCTTTCCTGTTGAACCCTCTTGCCTTCCCTCCTCTGCTGGCTCCTCTCCCTTCACCCCTGTCCTAGGGCTGTCTACCTTCCTCTTCTTTCTTCCCCTTGCCCTACCACTAGGACCCTGAGGGTGACTGTGAATTCACCAGGAGTACTTCATTCTCTCCTCTCATCTTGATGGGGTCTATAGCCAGTTCTCCTGTTGCTCAAAGATGTGGAGGCAGTTGCTAAGAGACAGTGAAACGTCATTACCTGGCCCTCGAGGAAAAAAAGGGGAGCGAAAAAGAGAGAGAGGAGGGGAGAGGGATGGAGGGAGGGGGAGAGAGAGGGAGAGAGGGAGGAGGGAGGGGAAGACCTGGCTCTGGCGGAAGCCACACACCAAGGCAGCCTCAGCACCAGCTGAGTTTCCCAAGAGGCGTTCAGATTCTGTGAACTTTCTAAGCATCCTCTCTCAGATTTCCCTTCAGCATAAAAGAAGGGGCACAGGGACCACAGGACAGGAAAACGCAGAAGATGCTGGCCTGGGATCCAGGAGACGCGGAAGAGGAGAGTCGGGGGAGGGGAAGAGCCCAGTAGGCAATCTGTTCGGAAGCTAGCAAGCAAAGGAGCGGGGATTCCAGGATGAGGGAGGCAGAGCCGTTTGTCTGCTGCAGATTGATGTCTGTGTCCTTGGAACAGAGTGAGTAGTCTCCCGAGGGTCTGTGGGAGTATAGCAGGAGACCCTGAGGCTGAGAAAATTGAGTCTGTATAAGGTGGTGCCGGGGTGATTTCCCAGTGGTGAGACTGATGCTCCGAAGCAGTGGAGAACAGGGTGGGAAAGGACCGAGGGGATAAAAGGGTGGGGGTTCGGGGGGTAAGTGAGGAAGCAGGTGGGTAAAAGAGAAGCTGAGGCCACAGAGGGGGAGGGATGAGCTGTGGGGTGAGGCCCTGGGTGGGATCCCTTTGCCAGACCAAGTATGTGTGTGGGCTTAAGAGGGAGGCTGGGAGCTGGAGGCTGGAACATAACAGGATGCTGGGGTTAGGGCTATGTTGTGGTGTAAAAGATGCTGGGGGCACACTGGGGAGGGGGCTCTGCAAGAGTGTGTGCAGAAAGAAGCTAGAGGGGAAAACTACAAAAGTGTGAGAGTGTATGTGTTCGTGAGTTCTTGTGCGTGCTGTGTGTGTGTGTGTGTGTGTGTGTGTGTGTGTGTGTGTGTGTGTGTAAGAAAGAGAAGGGGAGAGAGAGAGGCTGAAAGTGTTTGAGGGGGTACACAAACCACCAGAGTGTGGATGCGTGGTTTTCTTAGGGAGTTGTTCAGGGTGGGGTGTTCGGTGCTCACAAGGGTGGAGCTATAAGCAATAGAAAAAAAATACACCCAGCTCCGGACAGAAACCTGGGAGAAGGATTTTAGGTCAGGTGGATATAGTGAGTAGGTGACTGGAGGCTGGGCTCTGCGCTCACCGTGGTCCTCATCTGAAAGATAGTAAGCAAAGAACTTTGTGGTTGGGGATGAAGGTTCAAAGAAGATAGAAATGGGAAATAAAAGAGGAGAGGGGTAAGACAAAGGACCTAGGTAAGGGGAATGAGATATAGGGGACTCTGGATGCCTCTGCCTGAACGCTTTTCTTGTTGACAGAGTGAATTCTGCCTCTGCCTGCTGAGTGCACAGCTATGGTGACAGCTTGAAGACATAGATAATGCTTTCCTAACTGACCCCTACCTGTGCCTCCAGAACTCATGGCTTCTTCCAGATTCAGTGGCCCAGACAGTGGGTATCACTTGGGACTCACCCCTCTCTGGGCAGCAAAGAGCATCCCTTGAGATTCCAGAGGCCAATGAGACTAAACAGTCAGGCTTTCAGGAGGCCATGGGAACATTCTTCTCCAAGGCCCCTTCCTAAATCTCTGGCCCCAGGTCTTTTGTGAACTCATGCCCACTGGACCACCAGGGGAAACGGCCTCTGAGACCTTGAAAGCTGGAGATCCAGGTGCAATTCTGACTTCTTAATCAGTCCCAGCCCTAGGACAGAGCTTAAGTTTTCTTAGAAGAAGTGCCAGGACCTTTAAAGGCCACCTTTCATCTCTCTCACATCGTCCCTCCCACCACTCAGACACAGCACCCAGAGGAAGCACCCAGCAGGTATGGGTGACTGGGGCACAAAAGATCTGCAGGGACCCTTGCAGGACCTGCTGATGGCTGCCCCAGCTTTGTCCTTGTTCTCCTCACTTCTCAAGCTTTGATCACCCTTTCAGACCCTAGGGTATCTCAACTGGGTCCTTGCTCCCCAGGCTCCACACAAGGAGCATCCTGTGGCTCTTAGAAAGCCTTGGGTGCTTAGAGGCTCCCAAGGAAGTCTTAAACCATGATAGCACACTCTCAGAAGCCCCACCTCCCAGACTCAGGCCTCTAATGTAGCAGCCTCCCTGTACCTTGACTGTTGAACCTAGGGACACAGCTCTCATGGGCTCCCTACAGTATTGCTGCTGCCAGCTGCCAAAGATGGGTGACACCTGGGCCCAGCTTCCCTGGCCTGGGCCTCCCCACCCAGCCTTGTTGCTGGTCTTCTTCCTCTTGGCAGCTGGAGTGATGCACTCTGATGCCGGTACCAGTTGCCCAGTCCTTTGTACATGTCGTAACCAAGTAGTGGACTGCAGTAACCAGCGGTTGTTCTCCGTACCCCCGGACCTGCCAATGGACACCCGCAACCTCAGCCTGGCCCACAACCGCATTGCAGCCGTGCCGCCGGGCTATCTCACATGCTACATGGAACTCCGTGTGCTGGATTTGCGCAACAACTCCTTGATGGAGCTGCCGCAGGGCCTCTTTCTCCATGCCAAGCGCTTAGCACACCTGGATCTGAGCTACAACAACCTCAGCCATGTGCCAGCTGACATGTTCCGGGAGGCTCATGGACTGGTGCATATCGACCTGAGCCACAATCCCTGGCTACGGAGGGTGCACCCTCAGGCCTTCCAGGGCCTCGTGCATCTCAGAGACCTGGACCTCAGCTATGGTGGCCTGGCTTTCCTAAGTCTTGAAGCCCTTGAGGGCCTCCCGGGGCTGGTGACCCTGCAGATCGGGGGTAACCCATGGGTATGCGGCTGCACCATGGAGCCCTTGCTGAAGTGGCTGCGGAATCGGATACAACGCTGTACAGCGGGTAAGGGAGGTGACTGGGCAGGTCATCAGGGGGAGGGTTTCTAGAAGTAATGTCTCCCCCCCCCAAAAAAAAAAATGGTGATACTGTGTGCCCTCGTCTTTGTACACCTCTCTTTTGTTCAAAAAGTATTTGCTGAACATATAGAATGCATGCTGAGTACTAGAGAAATTCAGTTGCAAAAGAATCAGACGTCCCTTGCTTCTATGGTGCCTAGGATCACAGAGAGGAAGAAGACACACAGCAAGCAGAGTAGGAGAAGCTGGTCATTGCTGGTATTTGTTGAATTTTGCTGTGAGCAGAGACCTTGGCGTACATTTTCTCTGTGAACCCCCATTTTTATTATCCCCATTCTACAGGTGAAGGAGCTGAGATGTAGAACCGTAAGAAGGCTTTCCCAGAGTCACTTCTTTGGAAATTGGCAGAGCCGTAGATAAAAACACATTCATTTGACTTCTACTCTACTCTAACTCTTGTCAGTGACGAGAAAACCCTGAAAGAAACAATCATGACTAATCCTATTTATTTTAGTACTTACTATGTGCCAGGCCTTATTCTAAGCATATTTCATGTGTTGGCTCCTCTTATCCTCATAAGAACCCTAATGAGGAGGAAACAGAAGCACAGAAAAATTTAGTATCTTGGTCAAAATCACACAACTACCACATGTTAGAGCGAGGATTCAAACCCTGGCAGTGTGGCTGTTCTCTGGTCGTACTGTCAAGAATCAGGTCCTGAACTAAATAACCAAGCTCTGGGCTGGTCAAGTGGCCTTAGCAGAGTCTTCAAGGTTTATGCATGGGGTGGGCCTCTGGGGAGAAGGGCTGAAATGAGGCAGTTTAACTGGAGAGTCCCAACCAGAGAGTGGACTAAGACCTGAAAGAGCCAGTGTCACAGAAGTTTGGTGGGTCCTAGTCTCATCCAGTGGTGTTGAGACTTGGCCCAGAGGCAGTAAAGTTTAGCCATAGTCCCAGCTACCAATGCACTTATGGTGTAGCACCCAGCCTTGGCATCAGAACAATAGGAGTTGCTGGAGCCCCATCCCAGGAATTCCCTAGAGCCTAAGTTCAGCTTACTCAGGGGAAAAAAATAAAACAATGCTGAATGAGGCAAGGGGGAGAGGACTGAGTGGGGAGTCCAAGACTAAAATAACTTAGGGGGGCTGTGGGTCACGATTCCAGCGTTTCCACAGAGCTGTGGGAGGAAGTTCTCCAGTACCAAAATAGCAGGAGACTGAGATGGGGTGATGGTGGGGACTAGGATGTGGAGGCTGCCTAGAGCCATCTCCCTACCAACCCAATCTCTCTGCAAGCTGTGCCTCCCTCTCTCTTGTCACTATTGACAGAAAGAGCCTTTGGAGGCACTCAGCTCTTCTCACAGTAGGGATTCCTCTTCTGCTGGGATCTCCATGGGGGTCCTGCTGCCCTGCAGAAGACCTGGCTGCCTCAGAGAGATGAGATCAGCTACCGTCATTTTAGACTTATACATCAACTCAGGCAAGGGACCTGAGCTCTCCACAGGAGTGAGAAGCCCAGTTCCCATACGTGAAGGCTTACACAGAAATGCAGGCAAGGGACTCAAGCCTCAGGCGACAGGAGAACCTCAGGTCCCAGTAGTGCCGCCTCAGACATCACTGCGGGTGAGGCACTTGAGCTCCAGAGAGCAGCGGTGGTCCTCAGGCCCCCATCCTTCTCTACAGAGGACAGGTTACGTTTCCTCTAAGAGGCCAAATCTTGCTAGAGTGTGTAGACCTGGATGATGTCATTCCCTTAGACATTTTTTTTTTATCACTTCCTCTCTTTTCTCCTAGTGAAATTCCCCTGTTATCCATGCTGAGAGACAGAATTCAAACATAGACTTGAGAGAGCTACTGGGATATAGTCTGATTTCAAGATTGATCTCTTGATTTCCAGAGAACTTTCTCAGCCCATCACCTCCCATCTTGTGTGGCTACTGTGTGCTCTCAGCCTTCTCTAGCTGGTCTGCATTGTCTCACTGCAGCTTTACATATATACACAATCAACTATGGAAGTTGATATCGTCTAGATTCCCCAGAGAGCTTCTTGTGAGTCAACTCCAGATATGACCAGGATCTAATCAGAGTCTACAGTCCTGTGCAAACAGTATACTGGGATTGACTCAACCCATGATTTGAGGGAAATTGCATCCTTATCCCAAACATGAACACACACACACACACACACTTTTAAGGCTAATAATATGTATGCATAGCCATCTGTCAAAAGGATCCAGGTCCATCACTTTGTTCTTTGCCCTCAAAACCTGTGTAATCAATAGCTAGCATTGACACAGCCTGTATTTTTATACACTAATTTTTAAAACTTCACATTGACTCGCTTGGAAAATTTAGATTGGATTATTCCCTTCTTATAAAGACAACACAGGAGAGACAGAAAAAAATAAACAAGATTTGCCCAAGATTAGAGCCTCAATTAGTATTTTCATCCTGACCCAAGACATAGATGTTATTCTGAAGCTATTGCCCAGATCTGTAGGTGGAACTGCCTCTGAGGGCCACTCTTACTCCCCAAATAGATAAGGTTAGACCACTGACAGCCATCATGCACTTGTTGAAGTGACCCTAAAGGATTGTTCCACAAGGCTGGGGAGAAAAGCCATCCCACCAAAGCAGCAGCTTCTTCCTTCCAATGTCTGAGTATAGAATATGACCCCAAGTTGACACCTGAGAGACCCAACTATGATCATTATAAAAGGCATGCACTTTACCTAATGCTTAGTGTGCACTAGAAGCACTTGTGTGTTTTAGTTCTCTAAATCCTGCTTACAATTACAGAAGACAGATATTGTTGTCACTTGACAGATACAGAGGGACTAAATATTCACAGTCACACAACTTATGTGCGGAGAGGAGATTCACAGTCAGGTGTTATCTCCAGAGGCTATGCTCTTGACTGTATTCTCCAGAAAAAAAAATGTGAGCTAGTAACATGACACAAGGCTTTTAAATTAAAGTCCCACAACCATTTAAGAAAGACCTATTGAGTGCTTACGACAAAGAGATGCTGTTCTGGTACTGAGGCTGCTGTGGGAGAAGCATATCTTCAAGGGAGGAGAGACAGTGACAAAATTGTCAGGCAAGGACACCATAGGGAAAAATAAAGCAGAATGGGTATGACAGTGAGTGTGGGAGAAACAGGTGTGGTGTGCTCCCAAGGGAAGGCATCACTAGCAGGTTGTATTGAACAAAGTCACAAAGGAAATGAGAGAGTGGGCTATATAGAGACCTAGAGCAGAATCTTCATCACAAGGTCCCCTCTTCCTATCTAAGAGGAGACATGCTTGGGGCCATGGAGGAATGATAGAGACATGTGTCTCTGGAGCAGAAAAGCTAAGAAAATAAAGGGCTGGGGAAGTGTCCTTGGCACCCTAGGGGAGCTGTTGGCTTCCTCTCTGTGTGTAAATGAGAAGCCAAAAGAATGTATGGAGCAGAGAGTGACATGTCCATACTTCAGGCTTTATGTCTCACAAAAGTCCCAGATCCACCGTTGGAAGTAACCATAAGACTTTCCACAGACACTCAACCATATGACAGGTAATTTTTCACATTTATAAAAATAGGTAAAAGTGCTTTGCTGGTTGCTGAGATGATAAGTATATTTGAGGCATATTGGTGAAATCTAGTGACTCTCTGGAAGGGACGGGAGACTCTCCCATCCCTTCTCTCCCAAAGGAGCCTTACCCTGCTTGGGTTCTGTGTTGCAGATTCTCAGCTGGCGGAGTGTCGGGGGCCCCCTGAAGTTGAGGGTGCCCCCCTCTTTTCACTCACTGAAGAGAGCTTCAAGGCCTGCCACCTGACTCTGACCCTGGATGATTACCTTTTCATCGCGTTTGTGGGCTTTGTGGTCTCCATTGCTTCTGTGGCCACCAACTTCCTCCTGGGCATCACAGCCAACTGCTGTCACCGCTGGAGCAAGGCCAGTGAAGAAGAAGAGATTTGACACAGGTGCCTCTCATCCCTCCATGCTGCTGCCACTGCTGTTGACCACTGGACACCTGGGATCATGGTGCCCTGGCCACCTCCATCATAACTCAAACAAGGTTGGGAAACTAACTTTGTATGAGCATCCATCCACTTTGGGCCAGGCACTGTGCTAGCAACTGGGAATGAAAGACAAATCTAACCCAGTCCCTGCCCGTGAGGTACTTACTTTTAATAAAGAAAGCAATTCCAAAACATCCTTTTATGACAATATGCCAGTGCTCTGAGCACGGTGTTAGGGAAGCCCAGAGGAGGGTCCATCATCTGTGCCTCAAAAGTCCAAGAAGAATTGCAAGAATGATCTGCTAAGTAGATAGAGAAAGGATGACCAGGGCAAATGATAGGGCGTACTGTGCAGGGTATGTCGAGAGCAGCACACTGTTCCTTGTGGCCTAAGTGTGTAGAGGAGGTGTATGCAAGAGCAAAACTTCCCTCTGACACTCAATTTTCCAGTCCCCACTGCAGCCTGCCACTGCCCACCAGGAGTGAGATGGACCCCAGCTCCTTGACCTCCTTCCACTAGCAGTTTTGGGGTAAAATGACCTCCCAATGACTTCCCTATGCTCAATTGCAGCCTCATGGTGAGGTCCCAGACAACAGGGTAATCACCTTCAGCACCCTTCCTTCTATCCCTGTCTCTGCCTCTGACTCTAGACTTGTCTTCAAGGAGAAGGCAGAAGGCCCCTACAATGGTGGCAGCAATAGTCTTGGCCCCCTGGGACCCCAATTGTGTGATCACTCTTTCCATGGTGCTTACACCAAAGGAACTCACCAGGAAAGTGCACTGTAGGGCTCGGATCCTAGCATGTCAGTAACCAGGGCAGAAGGACAAAGCCACCAAGTTCACAACCATGGGATTATATGTCTTTTCTTCTAAGTAACTCACTCATTTGAGCATAAAGGAAGGAGAGCTATGAATTCCTGATTCTTGCTAGTGTCGGGCAGTGTGAGAAGCTCCCTCCTCAACAGTTTCCTTTCACACATACAACAGCCCTCTCAGGGGGGTTTATTGTTCCCATTTTGCAGATGAGATCATCAGGCTCAGAAAGGATAAGGTAGCATGCTATGTCATGTTCAAAATACAATCAGTATCCTTCATCACAATTCTTTCTAAAGCTATGTAAATTCAAATTCAAGCCATGCTAATGAAGTTGCTGATAAGGACCAGGCACTGCTCTGGGCATGGTTATATTTTCTAATTCATCTCTTTCCATTCTCACTGCCAGATAGTTTTTACTGTTCACACTTTGCAGTTGAATTCATTGTGGAGAGCTGAGTGACTTAGCCAAGTTATCTGTGTAAACAAAGAATATGACCGTTGACTCCATTGAGGAAATCTGTATCTAATCAGTCAGGCACCAAGGTCTATGTGGAAACATGATTATCACCATCTTTGTCATCTCCATATTCCTCATCTATGTCATCAGCTTCATTGAGATCTTCCCTGTCTTCTTGGGCACTGGAAAGTCCAGGAAGCTTCTTTTGCATTCCTCTCCTTGGCTTCTCACAACTCTGTGTGGGAGACAAATCAAAATGCTGTTTTACATATAGGAAAGTGGAGGCTCAAGATGAGTATGACTTCATCCTAACACTGGACTCAGTTCTGCCGTGGTTCTCTTTCCAGTGCTCCCTTGGGCATTTGGGGGAAGAGAATGTCCTGTAAGCCTGCATAGCAGAACCCTAGAATTCAACAGTCATTGACACAATAGTAATCACAAAAATGAATAGAAGGCAGTAAAGCCCAGCTGTGCCCAGATTGTGCTCACAGAGGGGCAATGCTAGCCTCTAAACCACAGAGGCAGCACAAGTAACATCTGAACAGAGGACGCCTTCTTAACAATGCATGAGTCTGTCACTAGAACTGGCGGCTGTATTGACATCATTCTTCAGTCAGATTTTTGGAAAGGAAGCGACGTAGTTCCTACTGTGTGTTGTGTTACAAGAGAAACTGAGGAATCTGAGAAAATGATAGGTGAGATCTTCTGTAGAAGACAGGAAGACTTAAGGCCCAGTCTTGTCGGCAAGGCTGGCTATAGTGAGGGTGAAAACGAGAGCTTTCTATCTTGGCTCTAACCCCAGCAAGCATCCATCATCCACTCCCAGGTAGCCCTAAAATGCATGGAGGAGGAGAATATGTCATCTTCCAACTCATCTACATTGATCTAATCAGCCAAAGCCATCCCCGGAAGCTTTCCCCCTCACTCTTGCTTATACTGTCTAGGCCAGAGCTCTGCTCCTACAAAATATGACATAGAACATAGCCCTGCTCTCCCCGACCACCCAACTGCAGCCAACAATGGTGGACTCCAGCTATCATCCACCAGTTAAGCTTATCATCTACGGTGTTTTGGAAAGGAACTTTTAGAAATAGTATTCCTGATTTAAAAAAAAAAAAATCATTTAACTTTCCATAAAGGAACACCATGCTCACTTACAGTAATCTCCTAGACACTACTGTTTGCTGAATTATAGTTAACGTATTTTAAGATATACTACTCTATTTCACATAGAATTAGAACAAGACAAGACACCAAATGCCTCTAGAGATCAAGTGTCCTTCCGAGTGGCACAATTTGATCTCCATTAATGGCAAAGACTTCTAAGCAAGATAGATCAAGAAAATGTTTCTCCAGCTTTTAGAAGGTCCCCAGTTAACTAAGGCACAAGAAGGGAGACATCCAGCCTCCATACTATCATGCAATTCCACTACCACCACCATCCTGTTCAGGCTGTCAGAACTTAGTGTCTAGAAATAATATAATAATCCTTATTGCAAGTGTTTGCATATCCTGGTAACCACAAACCTGTTATGATGTCCCCATGAAGTTTCATTTAGTTTTTTCCACACTGGCTAATGTGTATGATGGGGCATTGGTTTGTCCATATGTGTATCTGTGGTCCACTTATGTTGTTTATCTGCTGACTTGGAGAATATTCCTTTGGAGCATGAGTTCAGTTTTCTGACACAATCCACTCAGCTATCAGGCTGATACACAAATAAGGACCCTACACAATTGTCTGGCTGCACAGGAAACATGAAAAGATCCAATGCTATAATTGAAACAATCTAATGAAAACCTGGTTTCTCCCAACTTCCCTCTGTCCTCCTCTATCCCCTAGAGACTTGTCCCCTTCACAGAAGTTTCCTTTATGCTGGGTCTGAAAACGTCAGGTCATAACTAACCAACAAGATTATGGTGGTCAAGGTCTGGACAAGAATTTTTTTTCTTTAGAAAAGATCCTCTGTCCTCATCACACCATTCTGGATCATGTACCTCTGATTATCCTCAAGATACCAACTCCTTTTCCATTCTCACCAGGATTCCCGTGGAAACTTGAAGAAATAGGTTGCCCAGAGACGCTATAGAGTTTCATGGTCTCAGTTAAGGGCTTGGTGTAATGGATTTAAAGAGATTTAAATGGATTTAAAGAGTACATGTATTTCATTCCAACCCTTGTGAAAAGCCAACAGCTCCATTTTCTCCATAGACGTATTTGCTGCCGTTCTTTTCAGTTGTAGAAGAGCACAAGGAGACACCTTTGCTCATTCCTCAAAGGGACAGCGTCCTCACAGCTAGGGAACCTTGTCTGCTTTTGTGTACCCAGAAGGAGGCAAAAGGAAGTAAGAGAGGCACGACCCAAGGGCCTTTTGTACATCACAGCGCTGACCAGGAGCTGGGTCCACAAAGCTCTCAGTTCTCCTACGCCCTGACGTCTGGTGGTGGGAGGGTTAGGGAGGAGTAGGGAAGATGCCAACCTTTGTATGGAAATTATTTTATAACCATGCACTTTTGTAACTGTAACCAATTTTTCATAAATGTACATTAATAATAAAAAATGTATAGTTTAACTAATTTTTCTAAAGAGTTGTGAAGAGGAGGGAGGGTGGAGGCAGAAAAAGAGATAGAAAGGAACTAGGCAGAACCAAAAGAATGTGTGCCAAAATATACACACAAAAGGTCTATGGGGAGGGAGTAGATGGGAATAATTAGGAGATGTGCCAGCCATGGAGGGGCATGTGTGGGAGGAAAAGACACATTGCAGAGGCCTATTTCTACCAGGCAAAGTTAAAAAAAAAAAAAAGAGTACATGTGTTTCTTTATGCACATACCCCTATGTGTAGGCATATTTTGGTATCTGAAATTAAACAAAGCAGAGAGCATATGTTTTAGACATGTTGGTGTTTGCAGTTTGGGTCATCCATAAAACATGCCAAGGCAAGTGGGAGTACTTGCCTCATTAGCATTACTGAAGAGCATGTGCTAGGGAGATGGCCCATGCCAACAACATGGATAAAAAGATAGTAACTGGTATACAGGTAAATTTACTATGTGACTGCTGCTGTGCTAAGCACTCTATGTGGATTCATTCACTGAATTCTCAAAAACCCTAGATAAAAGCTAAGTACAGCTGTCCACATCTGTAATCCCTGCACTCAAGATCTTGAGTTCAAGGACAGCCTAAGCTACATAACAAGACCTGGTCTCAAAACAACATAAAGACAAAAGCTAAATAATATATCATAGTCACAACACATATGGGGAAACTGAGATGTAGCAGATTAATATGCACATAGCTTATGTAACTAGCAAGACTAGCTTTGGGTTTAGACAGTGACATATTGCACAAGACCACTGGCTTCCTAGGATAAGAAAAGCAAAAAAAAAAAAAATTTAGGGAGTTGCAGTCTTAATCGGAAGTAAGCTTTCGCCAGGCGGTGGTGGCGCTCGCCCTTAATCCCTGCACTCCAGACACAGAGCCAGGTGGATCTCAGTGAGTTTGAAGCCAACCTGGTCTGCAGAGTGAGATCCAGGACAGCACCAAAACTACACAGAAAAACCCTGTCTCAAAAAAAAAAAAAAAAAAAAAGAAGTAAGCTTTTGATTACAAAAGTCCTCTGTTGTAACTGTCCCCTTGGTATGCATGGAGGATTGATTTCAAGATGCCCTCTCTTGCACACCAATTCCCACAGTTGCTGAATCCCTTATGTACGTGCTTCCTTTATACCTTGAGTCATCTCTGGCTTATCTATAATGCCTAATACAGAATAAATATTACATAGTTACTGTAGTGTATTTCTCATAGAATGACAGTCAGCCATCTCTACAGTATTCAGTACAGAAGCAATTGACTTTTTAATACTTTTGATTCTTAGTTGGTAAATCTGTAGATGGGGAACATGCAGCTGGAGAACACCAATTCTACTGGGTGAAAGAAAATTGAAAAGCATCGACGGGCATGGTGGCTCAGCAGTTAAAAATGCTTGCCATCAAGCCTGAGGACCTGAGTTTGATCCCCAGGACCCACATGATGGTGGAAGAAAAGAACCAAGTTCCACAAATTGTCCTTTGACCTCCACATGCATTTGTTGCACACACACACACACACACACACACACACACACACACACACACACACAAATAAATAAATAAATAAATAAATAAACAAATTAATAAATGTAATATAAAAAAGAACATTGAAGTGTGATGAGTAAAACAACTAAGATGTTCTTTGCTTTAATAACTGCATTTCTCCAAGCAGGCTAAGGTATAACAGGTATCTATAAGGTATATAACAGGTGATCCCAAAATTTCTACAGAATAAATAATTGTTTACTAGAGCATTTAACACACATGTTCCCCATCTGTAGACTCAACCAATAAGTATCAAAAACATTAAAAAGTCAATTGCTTCTGTACTGAATACTGACTTCCTATCATTCTATGAGAAATACATTACAGTGACTATGCAGCATTTATTCTGTATTAGGCATTATAGATAATCCAGAGATGACCTATTTCTTACTCATGTCATTTCAATGCGTGTCAAAGACTCTGTTCCACATAGTCACTCAGAGACCCAGGATCCTTCCCTCTTGTGGATCTCCCATTTTTGATGCCTGTTCTGGATCGTCTGCATTGTGGAAGATCTCCAGCAAGATTTGGAAAGTCAGAGCCGGAAGTATTACACAACATTTAGTCACCCAAACTCAGTTCACTGGCTCCTTACTTCAAAGGTATGAACTTTCTATGCATCTAGAAGGCAAAGAAAAGACTTTGGTCACCATTGCCAGTTCCTAACATGGCCTGCAGTCACCAAATAACTGTTTCAGTTTCCTCTACACAACACACCCAGCTCAAAGCAGATCACCAATGATCCTGTTCTCTCCATCAGGCCTCCTGGTGATCCAGGGACCTGTGAACAACAAAGGAAGGTTATTTGACCGCCGAGCCCTATCACTCTGCTTATATCCAACACACACTGGCAGCATAGGTACAGAATAACAGCCAATTAAAACCATAGTTTGGAACAGAGGAGCCACACAGCATCTTTAGGTCTGTTAACAATTGTGGAATCCTACTGGGAGAGCACCTTAAAAGCCTGAGGTTACTCAGCTTTTACAGCCAGCCTCCTGCTGGTGCAAACAGTCCAGCCAGGGATCTGTTTTAGGTCTCCATAGTTAAAATATTTTTGAAACCAGATTTATGCTTCCTTAGCAATTTACTTCTTTTAAAATGTTAGTAAATTTTGTTGTGCTTATTTTCTCCAAGTTTTACATTTTAACACATGTATAAAGGTCTTTCCAAAAGGTGTTTTCAAGCCCACCTTGGTGCTCTGTTTTCCTCCTCCACCCATCTCTCTCCTCTGACTCCCAACACGGTAATCATCCGAAGCAATAGTTGAGAAGGGAGCATCCCTGTTCCTAGTCCTTTCCAACTGGCTGACTTACTTTAATTGAATACCTTTTAGTTTCATCTCCTTCAGTTCTAGAAACAGCCAGCTTTTTAGCATGTTCAATGCCTTGCTTTGCTTTGTTTTTTACTTTCTCACACTTTCCATCTCTTCTTTTTTTGTTGTTCAGTACATTTTATTTGTGTATTTTAAGCTGCTTGAAAACTAGCTAAACCATTTTAGAAACCCAGTTTAGATCCATTTGATCTGAATCCACACCAAGATATTCAACATGGAAAGCCATGACTTTTTGAATACAGTCGTGACAAGAAGTAAGGAAAGTGAGGAGGGAGACACTACCACGCTGAAGAGTGAATCTGAGGCATTGAGATTGTGGAAAGTCTACCAGAGGGCTGAGGAAATGGCTCAGATGGTAAGGATGCTTGTCAACAAATCTGACAACCTGACAACCCACGTGGTGGAAGGAGGAAACTCACACAGACACACACACACACACACACACACACACACACACACACACACACACACACACGGTAAATTAATGTGAAAGAGAGGGAGAGAAGAAGGGAGAAAGGGAAAAAAATAATGAGAGAAAGAGAAAGTCTACCACAGGGATGGGTCTGCACTGGAGTAACTAACAACTGGGTGATGATCAGGAGGTAGCCTGACGGGAAAAGTTTTGCTGACCCTCATTTCCAATTAACTGGATTTGGACAGCAAAAATCAAAGAGATGTTTTCCTTTTGTTTTGTTTAAGGCAGCATCTTGTTATATAGTCCTAACTAGCCTAGAATTTGCTATGTAGACCAATCTGGCATGAAACTTTCAATGATCCTCCTGCCTCTGCCTTCCAAATGCTAGAATTATAGGTGTGTATCACTATGTCAGGAAGTAAGCCAATTTTTTAATAGAAGCCAGTGTGACGGGATTGCAAGAAAAAGAATATCAGCAGATGTCTCTCCCACTTTACATTTAACTCATGAAAACCTTCAAGAGGACATACCACAAAGTCCTACAAATATACTAATGTAGCTGATATTTGCAATATTAAGGGATCCTGTTTCTATAGCTAAGCCAATATTCCTAAACATGTAAATTAAAACCTAAAGCAATTAAAAGACTTAACACAGCAAAACCATCTGGCCAATCCCCCTATAAAAAGTAATATGTACCTTCATTCATCCAAGTACATTGACTGCAGCCTCCATATGCCAGGGTAGGGTGTCCAGTGATAAATATGATATGTCACTGCCCTTTATGCCACTTTCTATACCAGATTGGGGCAAGAGAGTGGGTGATGGGGATGGATCAGACAATAAACAACAAAATAAAAAAAATAATTCCAGATAATGACAGATGCTGCAAAAAAGGGGGGGAAAGAGTTGGGGGAAATTGAAGGAGAAACTCCACTTTGAGGAGGTCAATGTAGGTCCCAGTCTGATCATGTATTTTATGTAAATCAAATGAAAACCACTGGAGGGCTTTCAGCATGATCAAGTTTTTCAATGACTATTCAGGATACTTAACAGAAAACATCCAAAAGGTGAGGAGAAATGTAAGCTGCAAGGCCATGGAGGAACCTTCAATGTGAGCACAGGGCAAATGTGTTCTGAAGGGATGCTAGGGTTGATGTGTATGGGGGACTTTGGGGATACATTTTGAAGGGGGACAAATGTCATTTTAAGGCACCAGATACTGAGAGAGAGAGCTCAACAGAATAATCAAAATAATCAAAAATACCTCCCAATGTTTTTTTGTCTTTACTTTGGCTATACTCAGCAAGAACCAAATAATGAAAAGATAGATTTAATTCTATTTTTTAAAATGGGACCAATAGATAGTCTACAATCATTAAATCAGAAACTCCTAATGAGTAAGTTGGAAATGGGGGAAAGGAAGCAGATATACAAGCAAATGTATAATGTCAGGAAACAGCCCAAACCTGAGCACTTGGGGATAGGCGTAGAAAAAATGGAACATACAACCTTGGTTAAAACATAGTATAATTTCACTCTGATTATCCCAGTGGACATTCACCTGAGTGCCACAGCTCCAGGGACTGGCATTTATAATGAGCAGCAGTGATGTGCCAGAGGCAGAATATGAACCTAGAGCTGATCATGGAAGCAAAGTATACCATTCCTCAGCTGTAGACAAG